GCAAATGCAATTTATCATTGAGTCAAATGCTGACTGACGTTTTTCATACCAATTTTTAGTCTATATTTTTTACACCGAATTGATGACGGATACGGATTTTCCATTATTTCCCGATCATGAGAAGAAGCACACGGAGGATGGGATGCTTACTCCTCCATGGCATCTGATCCCACTTCTGATGTTTTGAGGCCCGAGTTCGCTCTGGTCCTATTTTGAATTGTTTTATGGACTTTTGATCTTTAATACTGTTTGTTATCTCCATTTGTTTCATTTTAAAACATTTGAAAAAGACCTGTTAAATCCCCTTAATCTTAAAGATTAGTTGCACTTAAAGCTTGCTCGAATATTATACCGGGAGATGAAAACACCATTTGCACTCATACTTGATAAGGGATACATATATTTATGTTAGGCTCGTTAACGATATATAACTAAAGTAATTATGTTTGTCAACAATGAAACTTAGTTGATGACAAAATTGTGCCATACTCTTTATTTTCCTAATCTTCAAATTTACTGTCTTCTAACATTTTTATTTTGAAAATTATCTCCAAATTCATTATCTCAATTTGCAATCCTTGAGTGTAGTTTCTTTTTTTTCCTTGTGAATAATTAATACAGACGTCTGACCTTTAGTCAGTTACGTACGACTGGTTGCCTCCACACTCTCACCAAATAGGTTTTCCGATTAACAAGTGAAAGTGAAAGGTAATTAGTAACCCTCGTGGAATCTATCAAGTAATAAGTTCAACCACTTATGTCGAGCATCTGTGTTTATTTTTGACCTTAGAGCTCTCTCCCTTCCCTTCTCTCTCTCTCTCTATCTCTCTCTCTCTCGGAATTAGAGGGAAAGAGGAACTCACCTTTAATCATAGATTTCCTTTAATACAATCATTTCCAATGATGTTTCGTCTCCACCTTTAACACTGGCGACTACCAGTACATGCAAGAGTTTGATGCAATATACAGGTATTAAATGATTAACTTGTACTTATAATTATATAGAGTTTTGTCCCAACATATTTTTACAATTTTTCCTACTGAAGTATAAATAGTAACAAAGTATTCTTAGATTCTACTCGGACAGCAAAGTCGTTGCCAATTTATTTCAATGCTACAGAAACAAAAGATGTCTGTAAAACATTTATGCTTCCTCCCCCAAATAATTGGAATTCTTCTAAGTCCAAGGGGCATAACTGTCAAAAATGACTTTCTCTTGATCGTACTCAATATAAAACTTGACCTAGATATTCTTGTTATAAATCTGTATACCAAATTTCAATTCAATATGTGCTACCTCTGCGAAGAGAATGAACGGAAACTGATGGTGGACCTACGGACAGACTGACGATAGAGAGCAACAAAGCAATTTGCCATCTCTTCTTTGAAGGGTGGCATAAAAAAAGATGCAGTATGCTTGTGTCCCTCCAATGAAAATGTCTGATGCCTTTGTTTTACTTGTCATGGGATTTTTGGTAGTTGAGAGTGCCCCCGACTGAAAATGTATGGCTGTGCCCCCAAATTGAAATAGCCTCCTACTGTAAGGCCTGCTAGTGACTGCATCCTCATACCCCCACCCAACCCTCCATACCCAACCCTCCAACCCCTAAAAACGCTGTCGTATTTTGTATACTTTTAAAGGGTTTTGATAAATTTTCTTTGGAATGTTTTCACTTGTAATTTAAATGCATAAATGTTTTCATTCAACTTTTTTTTATTTTATTGCCTTCTCCAATTCCATTCCAATACATGCACACGCATACATTTACACAGTACATTGTTTATAAATTTATTTAGTTACTAGTAATTGATTGATCAAATAATTAACAAAATATTAAATTTAATTACGTAAACAAATAATGCTAAATTGTTTTCCTGGTACCAACGCTTCTTAAAATCACCAATTATATGAATTAAGGTAGAGATTGATAGCTTGTCAACAAAAAAACTACCCATTGAATTTTTCTGAATTTTTTATATGTTTGTGTCGAGTCCTTGTTCTAAATCATATCAAAAATTCAAGGCAGGTCATCCGGCTAGTTTTAGAGAAATTTGACAATTTTAATATAGCCTTCATCAACCACCGAAGAGCTGAAAAAGCAGGGTAAAGTAATATAAGAATATGATATGAAAAGGGCTGTAAATCTTTTATTGCTGTATCAATTATCATTTGTCTTATATGAATTCAAACATCTGTCTGTATGGATTAATATTTGACATCAATCTTAAATTTATCAAGCATTGTAAGCAAAAAACAAAATTACATTTACCAAGATGCATGGTCAAATTAGGTTAAAATATTGCCTATTCATTGTGCGAAGACTCACACTTCTGCTTCCACTGTGAAAAAAATTACCCATCAAATTTCTTTTTTTATTGCATATTATAGTTAGCCTATAAGTGTCTTAAATTTTAGAAAAAAAATCATACTACATCATGGGGTTTAAATTCAACCTGGAACAAGTTTATTATCTTACACCCTACCCTACCCCCTTCCTTTAGAAGGATGCAATTTTGAAGAATATGGTGACTAAGAGAGATTATCAAGAATTTATCAAAATATTTCACAGAAAATGAGTAAATTCTTTGTAATATTCTTCTAAATTACATTTTGTATCACAAAAACAATTTATACATGTACACCTAGACACATGTTGCCCTGGTTTACCTTTTTGCACTGATATTAAAAAAGATAAGAAGTTTTCCTTATATCGTTCAAATTGACTTTGATAGGTAGAATTAATCAAAATATTTCAAAGAAAACGAGTAAAATTCCAAGCAATATTCTTCTAAATTACATTCTATATCACAGAAAACAATTTATACATGTACACCTGGACACATGTTGCCCTGCTTGACCTTTTTGCACTTATATTAAAAAAGATAAGAACTTTCTTTGATATCATTCAAATTGACTTTGTAGATTTATTATACATTTGATTCTTGGATGAATTATCAATGACAATATGTTTTGACCAATTCTGTGCATAAGTAAACTGGTTTTATTATCTTCCTTTGACAACAATAGAATGATTAATTTCACTTTTCTTTTAACAATTCCTTTTTTATTCCAAATACATGTACAACATAAATAGAACACCCAGTGATTATGAAGTTTTGAACACAGAATCAATCCACGGCATGTTATCCTTGTTTTAAAAATATTCAGATAAAAATGTGTTATGTATTACACTGTTAAATGAAGACTGCCTGGTCATCAGTTGTCAGATATTAATACACTAAAGCATGGTAAAAAAATGCTAAATACACGGTAAAAAGTGCGGGAAAATTGGGTGATTTGGTTATCATTACATACATACAAAAATAGTGTAATAATTTAAAAAAAAAACATACAATGTATTAGAGGTAATGATTTGTAACTTTAAAGTATAGATTTTGCAAACAGATTCTTGAAAGTTAGAGGAATCCCACCATAAACTGTATGTGATACTGTACAATTTTTAAACTCATGATGTACGGTAATAGGATAAACTTGCTATTTTGCTTTTTGTCTTATTGGCTAACAAAGATCAATGTAAAAATGTATGCATTTTTTATTGCCATCGCATGCAGCCAGTTGCGTCATGTTCAATGATCCTGACAATTCCGTTGTTTTTAGGTCAATACAACAAAGGTGTTCTTTCACTAGGATCTGCAGCAAGCAAAATTCACTCTGTATATTCAGATTTCTAAGCACGTCCTATGGTGTGATATGCCTGTTCCTCTTTACCGTCTCCTTCTGGTTGTTCTTTTTCTGAAAAGAACAAAATATCTTAATACAATAAGAATGAAAATACAGGTTTTACTTCTTTCTTACACTACAAACATAGTATGACTACCGGTATGTCTATATGAATATAAGACACTTTTGAGATACCTTTTTTTATTATATAATGTCATGAATCAGGGGTTCAAATTTTTTTTTGTCATGGTCAAGTCCAGGACTTACAGAGTAAATTTTAGGCAAGTCCGAGGAAGAAATTTCAGAGTCCATATTTACCTATACATTATTAAATTTATGTTACTTATAACTAATTTTCATTTGTTGCATTGAATGAATAAAGACTATATGTATTTAATATGTTTTATTTTTCCTCCATAAACTGTCATAAAGTCATACATGAGTATTTCAACACAATACCAGACTGATAGATTATTGGTACATTACAATAACTTTTACAAATACTCACTACTGAATAAACCATCTGTTACAATAAATAGAAATTAGAATGTGCTGTAAGTCACAGCTAAAACCGAAATTTAACAAACTCATTGTCGTTTGTCATATAGGAGGAAACATGAGGAATTGCGTAAAAGCAAGAGTCTAACCGCAACGGAAAATAAAAAGACGAATTGTATTTTCAAAATGTTCGTAATGTTTTAAGGTACATGTATTTTAACGCCCACAAACCCTTATTTTTACTTAATACATTTGAGAATTTGCTTTATTTTTTGCTTTACGGTCATTTTTTTAACTTAAAAAAAAAAGATAAACAAGAAATATAGCCAAGTCCCAGGACTTTGGCGAATTCTAAATGCCGAGTCCGGATGCGGACTTTGTTAGTCCGGGACGTCGGACTTGAGGAATTTTGAACCCCTGATGAATTTTTTTAATTAAATGCATATAAAGTCAGCCTCATTAATCTGGGCACTTTTGCTCCCAAGGAAATTATTTGGATTAATGAATTGTCTTAATTAAACAAACTGGTATATAAGGATAAAGATCAAATATTTTAGTTTCTAAATGTAGGCCACACTCTAAGGCCAAGACCATGGGGTTAAAGAAAAAGAAATAAACGTGAAATACAAAGACTCAGCACAAACTGTTCAAGAGTTAATACCAAAGGATCAAGCTTTTGTGGAAATAAAAAAATACATGTACCTGTCAGTGACATACCAATGCATATACAACTAGCAACCTAACTATTTTATGTGGAATTAAAATACTTTTCTTTTTACATCTTATTCCATTTTTTTAATTCAGCTTTGTCCCTAATTACCTTATTGATATAAATCCAATATTCTTTTGTAACACCGCAGATGACACTTGATTAGCCAAGGATCCTATATTTCCATGGGATCTGTAACATGATGAAAATAAAATAAAGTAAATAGCTTGATCTATTTAAAAAAAAATGTAGAATTTATTAACAATTTTGATTTATTTTGCAAATTTAGCTATGATAATGTGAAGAGGTCAATATTGTTAAAAAACCATGTCAATTACAAGTTTTTTAACAATACTGACTTCTTCATATTATCATACCAATTCTTTGGTGCTTTAGTTGAAACAATTTCTTTCAAGTTAGAAAACATCTTTACATTTTACAATTTTTTTTGGTTATTCAGTTTTGAATTCAATTTACAACATGACTTTTTATATGTTTATACACAAATATTTGACCATACATGTATTTAAGTCAATAGAACACCTACATGTACAATGTAAGTAGTGATGCAGGAATCCCCGATTAGATTCTCAGTCCAGCCATACATGTTCCTCGTTTCCTGACACACAAGTATGCCACTTTATGTTCAGTTTGCTGTAGCAGATCTGGCTTGAACTTTCCTGAAATATTAATATGATCTTTGAGAAATTATTGACTTAAGAAAATGCTTCTATATGTATACAATAATACTGTATGTACATTATGGTGTTTAAATTAAAAATACAAGGACTAAAAATCATAAATTTAAATTTTTAATACATGTATTATAAAACATCTCCTTTTTACCACCCCCTTAAAAAAAATTCTGGATTTTCCCTGATTGTGCAAGTGTAAATTGAAAGAAAAAAATACAAACCAATGGCTATTTTGGAGTTAATGTAAAAAGCACCCTTGACATTTCTCTTTCCAGGTGACACTTGATTTGGTCACATTATTTCAGCAGAGAAAGCTGAATACACTGTCTAGTTCATAGCTTGCTTCACCTGTAGTATTAAATATTTCTTTTATAATCTATGAATATGATATCTGTTTATAATCAGGGCCCTTTTGAGCATAAAACAAATACATACATAAATTTATTACAGGTGCATAAATATTACATAAGGCCAAAAAATAGTCTTGTTTCCTGCTACCCAACTGACCCTATTTTTTTGTCACTTGATCCTAAAGTTGTTTCTTTTTTTCAATGCAACTTTTTACAATTTGCTTGTTATCTCAAAAAGACAAAAGATTTGCAAGTAAAGGTCCACTGTCTATCATTTATAAAAGGGGTTAAAATAATTAAAAAGCATCTGCCATCCAAAGCAGAGAAAGTTTATACATTTCTGCATTTGAACAATTTAAGCAAAATATGTCTTTCCATTTTTTAATCTGAGTAACTAAACACCACCTCATGTGTTAGGCACAGATAGGTATTTTTACTAATCTGGCCTTTATCATGTTCTGACACCAGAAATGTCCGGTTTTATTCTTCTATTCTAGAAGTTACAGTCTGGTCATGAAATGTTTTATTTTTTAGCTAAATAAAACTACTTTAGGAAGGAAAAAAAATCTATGAAGGTTATTGGTAATTGAAGCTAAATATACTGGTTGTACCGGGTGCGTCGATTTACCCAAATGGACCCAAATGGAACCCAAATGGAAACTCAAATGGACCCAAATGGAAATCAAATGGACCCAAATGGAAATCAAATGGACCCAAATGGAATATAAAATATATATATTATATCGTATTCTCAAGTTTTTACTTATTTAAAATATAGAAAATAATAAAATTAAAACAAAAAGAGAATATTTTAATATCATTATTTTCTTGATTTGTATTTTTAAAAATGCGATTTAATTCTATTTGTAATAACTATTGAACACACTTGAATACAAAACTGAAGTATTAGATATTTTTTTATGGCTGTAGGAACGGATAGGGGGGGGATGCCATGCCAACCCACAAGCCACAACCCCAGCCCCTACCCCCAAATAGTTTTGCCGATATATAGAATACTATCAAAACTTCATGCTTCAAAATACAACATTAGAGATAAATAATTTTTTTAAAATCCATTTGTAACTGTAAGTTCATTATTTTCATCATTTTAAATAATTATTAAAATACGATAATACGTATTTAATATTCCATTTGATTTCCATTTGGGTCCATTTGTGTTTCCATTTGGGTCCATTTGTTTCCATTTGGGTTCCATTTGGGTCCATATGGGTAAATCGACGCGCCGGTTGTACCAGACCTGTGCGTAAACAAACAAGCACCATAGTCATGATCGATATACTACATGTACTACGTCGTAAATATTTAAAAGCTCAAGTTTTGTAGGGCCATAGGAGCGTTGCCATTGCGCGAGTCCTTTGGAACCAAATCTGACAACTTTTGAACTACCGTCCTCATGGATTTGATATAACATGTATCCCAATCCGCGACATGATGTGTCCACTGCAAGTCGAAATTCCAGGTCGTAACGAGGAAAACTGAGAACAGGCGAATTCTTCAGGAGCTTCTTGAGTTCATTAAATGCTGATGTTTGTTCAGAAGTCCAGTTAAACTTGGCATTTTTCTTCATTAACTTGAGTATAGGTTGTGCAATGGCGCTATAATTTGGTATGAATTTTCTAAACCAATTAAATAGTCCCATGATTCGCCGTAACTCTTTAATGTTAGTTGGAGGGGGATAGTTCATAATCAATTCAACTTTGTTGGTAGGTGGTTGAATTCCATCTTTAGATATCGCATGTCCGAGAAAAACACACTTGCGTTGCGCAAAATGACATTTCGATGGTTGAAGTTTAAGTCCTGCAGAATGAAGACGACCAAAAACTTCCTGAAGATCTGCAAGGTGTTGCTCAAAAGTTTCGGAACAAATAAGAACATCGTCCAAATAACACAATACCGACTTGAATGTAAGACCACGTAGGACCTTGTCCATTAACAACTGGAAGCTATTTGGTGAGGTTTTTAGTCCCATGGGAAGTCGTAGAAATTTAAATGTGCCATAACAAGTATTGAAAGCTGTGTATTTTGATGAATCTTCAGAGATAGGCATCTGGAAAAATCCTTTGCTCATATCTATGGAAGAGATCAAGTTCGGCACTTTGTCTGTAAATGATTCTGTAAGTTCTTGTAAGTCAGGGATATTGTATCGGAACTCTTGCGTCACAGAATTCAGGTAGCGAAAATCACAACAAAACCTGTAGTATGACAAACACTGATCTTTAGTTAAGTTGTTTAACTTCCCCTTTGGTTTGTTTTGTTTGGATACTAACACAATAGGACTTGTGATAGGGACATTTTCACTTTCTTGAACAGGTGCAATAATATTCTGTCTCAAGAGATCATCAAGCTGGTGACGCAACACTTGTTTCTTCTCTGGTGGTAATCGGTATGGTCGGTGATGTTTTGGTTGCGCATCGGGCTTAAGATGAATCTGATGTTCTACAACACGTGTACGACCTATGTCAGGGTTTTCCTTTGTAACAAACAAGGATTTGTTTTTAATTAAACACTCTGTTAATGACTTTTTGTCGCTGACACTCAATTCATCGTCAAAGTTAAAATTCAGCAAAAATTGTTCATTGGAATGAGTATTCGCTGTTGGAGCTGACTTGGAGTCAGATAAAGTTACGTTTGCACACTCGACGGGGGTTTTGTCCAAGTCTATCGTTTGAATATGGAACGAATTGTCAAGTGGTTTGAAATGAGCCAGAATTGATCCTTTATTTACAAACACAGGTTCATCACCAGGGTTCAATATCTTAAGGGGGACTGAGCCGTTTGTTGAAATAGTAACAACTGATTTCACTAGAAGTAACCCTTTTCTCAAAAACAAATTATGTACAGAACAAACACCTGGTAAACCTATCATTTTGGTTTTGCTAACTTTGCCACTGATGAACATTTCTGACTTGGGTGGCACTGAAAAACTTGATCTACATCTAACTTTTGTACATTTGCACTGACCTCTAAAAGTTACAAATTTGTCAAAATCTAACACAATCTTTTTAGAAATCAAATAACAAGTACCAAGTATTAAAGGATGAGATGCACAATCTAAAATATATACAAAAATTGAATGTACTTTAGACGAACAAGATGTCTGCACTGAGATACTGGCTGTCCCAAAGACGCAAACAGACTGATCATTGGCCAATTTGACAGTCTGCTCACTGCACGATCGAAAATTCGATTTGCTGTTAACTGGTAATTTATCAAAGAGAGACTTGGAAATGATATTGATACTACTACCAGTATCTAACAGTGCAGTAACTTGCATACCTTGGATCTTGACTGGCATGTACATAAATTCTCCAGCACTATTTTCATCACATTCACTTTCACTATTTACACTTTCACAAAACACATTTTCACAATCTGAAATGTTGGCACTATCACTTTCACCGCCACAGGCTGTGGGTGCCTTTTGCAGACCGGGCGCGGTTAGTTTCCCGAAACGGTGACCTTTTTACAGGCCGCAGCACTGTGTCCGTTTTGCTTACAGATCTGGCACAATACGGATGGTTCGCGGGGTCCCTTTCCGTTCCAATTGCACTCAGCTTGTCGATGGTTTGGGCCATTGCAATTGTAACACACGTATCGGGTATTCCTAGTTGGGTGGGCTGGTGCTGGTCTTGGGCGATGGGCAGCTTTCCTCTCTGGGTCCCTGGCCTCTAGGCGGTCCATTCGTTCAACGAGCTGCGACAAAAGCTTTTCCATGTTGGTAGAGGTTGCGGAGGGTTCCTTGGGTGTAACGGCAGCGACCGAAACTGGAGCCGTAGACTGGCGATATCCATAAGCCTCTCCGAGTTTGGCCTGCTGGAATGCGGCTTGAAGGTTCTTCGGATTGGCAGCTCGGACAAAGAATGCCAGTTGTTGTGGGAGTCCATTGATGAATTTTGCAGTAAGGTCCCTCTCTGGTTTCTCCAGTCTGGACCCTTTTTCCAGGACTTGGCTGTGGAAGCCTTCTATGGGGGCCCCAGGCTGGAGGGTCAAAGCGTCAAATATGGCGGATTCAGCAATGATTGCTGGGTCGTATAGAGATCTGCTGAGGTATTGCGCATTGAAAGCCTCCTTGACCACTGTCCAGGAAAGTTTATCGCTCGCCTCCAGTGTAGTAAACCACACAAGTGCTGGTCCCTTCAGGTGTAAATGGAACGCAGCTATCACTCTGCTATTGTCCTTCAAATTCTGCAAAGTGCAGAACGATTCAAATTCCTCCAGAAACTTCTGGGCATTTTCGCTTGTGTAGCCATGAAATTTAGTAAGTTCAATTTTAGCAGAAATCGCTACGGGTGAGGTCACTGGTTGACTAACTGGTGGCATTTCGAGAATGGTTTGATTTGGGGAATTAAATCCAAAACATTCAGAACTGTTATAATCCATGACGTAATAATAAAAAGTCCAAAGAAAAAAAAAATTTAGATTCTCCACCATGTAATAAATTGTCAAATTGATAAGTCAGGTATAAAGTTTTAGAATTTATTGTAAGTCCAAAAATATGAATTTCACAAACATAATTTTAGAACAAATTTTGTAGATAGAACAAACTGAATTTTACAAAGGTAATTCCTAAATTGACTCACATACAAACTCACTCACATCTAATCTTTGACAACTCCGCCCACTTTCGTACTGACCAACCAATTAAATTGCAAGAACAGGGGAATTCGTATGACATTAATTTACAACACTGAAATTAGGTAGAGCTAAGCATAACAAATTCAAAGAACACGATCCTAAGATCTAACCATAAAGTTGATAACAAGTATGAGTAAATGACATTGATATATCGTGAGACAGGAAAGAGATGTCAAGAATTAGATATTGGTAACATGTGCAAATTGCATTCACTAAACATCAAATGAAAACAATTAACTTTCAACTACAGATGTCAAACAAGACCGAAAAGTAATAATCAATTATATAAAAATACATTCATAATTAATAATTTGTCATTTAGAAACCCTTATAACCCATAATCATAACAATTCACCTTATGTATCTGACACGGACACAGCATACAAAAATCTGTTCCGCAAAAATTTTACTTCTTCCGTCATACCAATTAACATCGGTAGGGTCATGGTCTTTTAAATGTCTATACAGAAAACAACATCAGGCACAGATCGATACCGGTGTGTACCCACGTGGTGCTGTGCAGCGGACAGTGGACAAGGAGTAGTTTCACCAAAATTATGTTCATGTTCGGCTTCAGTCTCACTTCTATTTTGATTCTCATTAAGATGCTTCAATTTCGAGAACCGTAAAGATTTAATACGTATGGTAACTTTGTCTTTCAAGTCGAGAAAATTTCTCGATCGCTTCGTCGGCCATCTTGTAGCATAGACAATAATGTGTAAATGGAGACTTTTATTTGACGGCGTTCCGGAATCCGGAAAAAAAGCACGTGCAAATATGCGAATTCTTTCTATCACGTGATTGCTATCGGTCTCTACCTTAAGACAAGCTTGTAGTTGTCTTAAAGTTAGGACTAAGATGAAAAACTCTCCTAAGATAAGATAGCTTCGTTGACCCCGCTTATAACTAAGAAATGGTCATCAAAAGATATGTCTTAGTCCTAAGATAGCTTCATAAGCATGCTTGCAGGTTCCGAACACATTAGCAAGGGTGACGTAGTACTCACTTCCTAGCCTTAAACCCGTGAATAATTTACCATTTCCAGTTCTAGTCTCGCTAGATTTCAGCAAAACTACTTCCAGAGCGTCTTTGAATTCCGTTGGTTTTATAATTTGCGGAACATCAACATTTTGATGTACTTCCGATCTTAGTTACTGTTTGTTTATTTCATTGGTAAAAGCTACATTGAAGCATGGAGTTGAAGCTTATAAGTCCGTTCAAACAATAAAAATCGGAAGCAGAGAAAACACAAACATAAGAAGGGGTGGGATCAAGTGCCATGAAATAGTAAACTTTTCTTGCTAAGTGGTCCCACACGCTGTGTACTCCTTGTCATGTTTAGGAAAAACAAAGAAAAATCCATAGGTAAATCAGTGTGTAAATTATGGTCTAAAGATTAGTTTAAAAACATCAAACAGATTTAGTGATTTGCATTAATCATTTATCCTGTATGGAGATAACCATTACCATATCCTCCCTGAAAAAACGTCTCTTTTTTATGACCACTGCGCATGCTCCTTAAAAGTCATTTCAAAAACCACATTTATTTTAAAAAAAGATCAAACATAATGTGACTATATAAAATGGGTGAGATCTGATTTTGCTTCAAAATAATTTACCTTTTGGCTTTTGTAAACCCATTGTCAGTGTGCAAGTTGAACGCTAAGCAAAATATTTTAATCTTTGTGGTAAATACTCTATTGATTTAAGACTGAAATGTTGATGTTTATTGAAATTCTTTAATTCATAATATGTGTTAATAATGTTTTAGAAGTATGTAAAAAGAAAACGAATTTCAAATGAGTCTATAAATATTTCACCCAAAATATCTACACCTCTATTCCAAAGCAGTTAAAATTGTGACATTGTTGTTTTTTTTACAATAGTTTTGACTATAACAAAAAAATAATAAAAGAAATCTTAGATATTTATCGATATTTTGAATATTGTATAATAAAAATCAAATAGCATTATTTGTCAGGTCATTGGGCTTGGGGTTGCAGGTGTAATTGTTCACAAGATCAACAACAGTGATCCACCAAACGAGGACTCAGAATAAATATAAACGTCAGAATTTTCTATGTTTTCGATCCACACATGGTTTCCTGCCTCAACCTCTACAAACACTGTTTTGGACCCTGTATGGTAATAACCACCACCATTTTCACTCGAACGAACTTTTCCTTTTATTGAATTATTTATTTTAAGAGCTGTGCTACAGTGGGTACTCCCACTATAGTAGCATTGCATGGTCCAGTGGAACAAATAAAGGCCGTGGACAGGAGCGATAAATATTCCATTTGTCGGGTTGTAATGTTTTCCCTGGTTGTTAATTATATTAGGAAACTGAAGGATGAATCCAGGTCCTATTCCAGATTTACTATTTGACTTCGCAGAGAATGTTACCGGTGTATTATTGAAGACAGGTATACCTAAAATAAGAAAAAAAAATCATTTTATCAAATTCAAGCCCCATTATTATTTACTGTTAGTGAGTTATCTTTCATCAAGGTAACGATAGTAATCTTTTTGTGTATTATTGACCATTTAGAGTTTTTTCGACATGAGAGGAATATGTTCTCTTAATGTTAATTAACCATTAATTTAACGTCGCTGATTAGGCGATATTAAAGGAGGATGGCATGGCGATACAAATTGTGTGTAAAAGAATAATCAATCTCAAATGATTTATAGACAATTATACAAATATGTGAAGACGGCAAAATGCGTAGACTCTAGGAAATTCTTAATTAGATCAGGTGCAATGGAGTAGTAAGCATCTCTGTGGACCAGTCACACATGATCAGTAGGTAGACAGAACATTCCCTAGTCAATTTTAGTATAAGACCTAACGATTTCTATGAAACAAGTATTTTTTCTCGATGGAGACCTGTCCCCTAATACAGTTATAATATTTTTTTTTACTGAAGATAGTTTCAAATACATGTATATGAATTATCTTTCAAAAAGTTGCATATCAAATACTATCATACTTCTGAAATTGAAAATAAAATAAAAATATTTATACAAAAAAATAAATGAACTATAAATTAAAAAAAAGGAAAAAGTTCTGCATGGTTTTTTTTTTGTGCATTAAGGATATAGGATTTCAGAGTTTGCAGAAAATTTTAATTATATTTTTTATCATGTTTATAAGCGCTATTATTTGCAAGGAAAAAAATAATTTTAAAAAATGATTAAAAAATCATCTAAAATATACTCAATTTTTTTTATTTATAAATAAATCAAAAAGATTATCGCTTTGTAAAAATGCAGTAAGCTAACATCATACCTCCACTTGCTACCTTTAAGGTGTTGATGCTTGTGAGGTTCGTGTTGTCCTTTCCGGTCAGCATTTTTGACACAGTTTTCTCCAGTATGGACACTCTATTCTGCAGATCGGATACGGTCTCTTGATGAGAACTGTTTGTAGTATTCTGACAAAATACACAGCTAATGCAAAAGACGAGAAGGCTACAGTATAGTTTGAGAAACATCATGCTTCTTTCAAATGCCTGATCGGAATTAGGGAGGACTTAATATGTTTTCTTATCTATAACGTTTCGGAAGGGGAGTTTACAATCATTGTTTTTCATCCTGATTGGATAAAGGTATCTCAACAACACTTTATCTATATCTTCCTCTCTTTTAAAAGTATTTACAACTAAATTAATGAAAGATTTTATTTGAAATATTTGCACCACATGGGTCTATTTTTCCTCGTGGCGCTTAGGTAGAGTGTTTTCTCTTGACTCGCAGAGTAAGAAGCTGATCCTCACATCGCTGGTTCGAGTCCACTGCGGGATGTAAAGACCGGTCCCGTGTCGCAGTACGTATTAGTACGCAAAAGATCAATCACAACCCAAAGGCTTTTAGTGTAGAGTATAGATATAAATTTGCACCCTCCACCTGCAAGCGGTGAGATCTCCTTATGAGTGAAATATTCTTCAGAAGGACGTCAAACAACAAACAAACAAAATACATTGGGTTTGATAAATAAATAAAGTAGCTTCTGCTTGAATTTATTTGTATGTTACATTTTTATGCAATATCTATAGGTATTACAATACAGGTTTCGTTATTCTTGTATACTGATCATTTAACTCGCTCGTATATTTAAAACCTTCATTATATCAATCATCAAAAGGGTTTTCCATTCATAGATCATTCCATTTTGAATTTTAATACACAGTAAAGGATAAATTCTGATTACATGTTTTGAGAAACCAATATTGATATGATTTTTTTTAAATATCGATTGAACAAATCGTCATACTTTTGTTTATGTTTATTTATTCTAATTGCATTCATATTATAGACGGATTCGATTCTTTTGAGAGAACAACTGTATGTTCTGAAATGACCTTGTGGTTCTTGTAAATAAGAGCATTTTATCAATGGTTTTAGGGTGCCTACTTTTAATAAAAATGACAATTTAAGGAACAGATCTTAAGATATTTTTGAAGCATTTCCTTAATGCAAAATCGAAAGACAGTCTTTAAGGAAATACTTTTAAAAAGCACATTCTTGAATTGTAAAGATCCCAGGTATTTACTTCCCTAAAGTCCTTATGTTGTTTAATTCAGTATACTTTACAATATCTTATTTCATTCTTTTTGTGACGCCTGCAGAACAAAGTGACACTTAATAAACACTTTTCCCCGGCTTCTGTTTGTGTGTCTATCCGCCTCTTCTTCTCTCCCATCATATGTTAAGGTTATTATGCATTTGATAATTAAAAAGGCTAGATATTCATTTGCTTGGCTGCTTTTTGAAAAAAAGGTATTTTAAATTTTCATATTTTCAATGCAACGGTAGCCATTATTAAAAGTGTTTGAAAAACACATTTAACTTATTTATTATTAATGCTGTAATGTTTTATAAAGTTGTTGCTCACCACCAACTACAAGATTCCCTTTAGACAAATATAGACAGAGCAATGAAAATATTTCCACTGATTTCGTTCAGGGACAATAATAAACATCCTACATATTGGTATCTTTAAGAATTAATACACTGTATATTTATAGAAGTATAAAAGTGGATAGGAAATATATATTCCATGGAAGATTACTTTTCCTTGACATAAAATGACTAATCTTTGCTGTATCCACGTCTCTTTTTGTTTCTATTTCTATAGATAGAATAACAACTCGTTGGGAGCCGATATTTTGTTGTTTTTCTATTACATGTGAATTGAAATTTGGCAGCAAGTTAGACTTAGGTTGTCCATGAAAATCAGTTTTATTGGGAAGGATGTGGAGATAACGAACAATTTTTAATCTCAAAGTCCATAAAACAATACAAAATAGGAGCAGAGCAAACATGGACTTCCAAAACATCAGAGGTGGGATTAGGTGCCATGGAAGGGATCAGGTGCCATGGAGGAGTAAGCATCCCCTGCTGACCGGTCACACCTGCCGTGTGCTTTTTGTCATGATCAGGAAATAACGGAAAAATCCGTCGTCAATTCATTGTATAAATAATGGACTAACAATTGGTATGAAAAAAGTTAGTCAGCATTTTGACTTAATAATAAATTGTATTTGCTGACAAGGTCATTGTATCGACCATAGAACTTACGAAATGATATCTTTAAGGACAGATGATACAAACTTTTTTTCATGAAAGAGACTTATTAGTATCATGTTAGAAGGTAAGAGAAGTGGATAATTCTTAAATTTTATTCTCCTATGAACTGGAAAATGAAATAGACTTGGGAAATATTAGTAATATTTCAATAAAAAAAAAAAACCAAATATATACAAATCACATTCAGTAAAGGTTTAAAGCTGAAAACAAATTTCAGAATATCTTATCTTCGTGCTATAAGTGTAATATAAACTTTAGAAAACTAAAAAGCCAGGTGAATTTTTTTTAGGAAAAGCAAAATTACGAAAAGTCAGCAAAATCACATAGGTTTATTTTTACCTATTTGCTTTTTAGGCCACCTCAGTAAACTCAGGTGACCTATTGCTATCCGTTGTTGTTCGTCGTCGTGCGCCGTGAGTTAACATTTGAACATTTTCAGCTTCTTCTCTGAAACTACTAAACCAATTTCAACCAATTTTGGTACAAAGCATTTATCGGTGAAGGGAACAAAAATTGTGAATTTCATGGTCCCTGCCCCCCTGGTGCCTGAGGTCTGGGGCCAAAACCACTCAAATTAGTGCAATCTTTAAAAATCTTCTTCTTTACTCCTTGACATCAAGCAGTCAAACTGTTGGCATGATTGTAATCAGCATTGAGTCCTCTATCAAAATTGTGAAATTTCATGGCCCCAGGGTTAGGGGAGCTAGTGCTAGGGCGGGGCTAAATAGACTATATAGTGAAAATGCATTATTTCTTTGAAAATCTTCTTTTCTGCTCCAGGGCATTAAATAAGCTAACAAAGTACATAATAATGTTGAATAAGATTGCCTCTTCCAAAATTGTGAATTTCATGGCCCCAGGGTCAGGGGTTCTGGTGTTGGGGCGGGACTCTATTGGTTATATCGTGAAAATGCATTAATATTTTGAAAATCTTTTTCTCTGCTCCTGAGTATTAAACAAACAAAGTAAGTACATAGTTATGATGACCGAGAATGCTTTTTCTAAAATTTCGAATTTCATAGCCCATGGGTGATGGGTTCTGGTATTAGGGCAGAGCTCTTTAATTGTTTATATAGTGAAAATACATTAATTCTTTAAAAAATCTTCTCTTCTCCTGGGTATGAAATAAACTAACCACGAACATGGTTATATTGAATAAGTCTGCCTCTTTCAAAATTGTGAATTTCATGGCCCCAGGGTCAGGCTTTCTGGTGTTAGGGCGGGGCTTTGTTGATTTTATATTGAAAATTTATAAATTCTTTAAAAAACTTCTCCTATGCTCCTGGGTTTAAAACCAATAAACTATGTACATTGTTAGGATGAGGAAGGATACTTCTTCCCAATTTTTGAATTTCATGACCCCTGGTTCAGGGGTTCATGATTATATTGTGAAAATGCATGAATTCTTTGGCAATATTTTCCTTTGCTCCTTGGTATAACGCCAATGATCTAAGTATTTATATATGATGAAGAAAGGTGCCTCTTCCAAACTGTTTAATTTCTGGGCTCCTGCTTTAGGGGTACTGCATCCGGGAGGGGGTTGTTCTCACATAGTCTGAAAAAAAGTAATACTTTGAAATCTGCTCTTTGATATTAATCAAACACCAGGGTCAGTGGTTCCTCTGGGTTGGAGTGCACAACTGGTGGTTATAAAGTGAAAATGGATTTTCTCTCCGTTACTCTGATTTACCTTTGGGTATTAAGTAACCAAAATAAGCATGCTAAGTGTATAGTTATGATAAACAATGGTGCCTCTTTCAAAATTGTGAATTTCAAGGCTTTTGGTTTAAAATAGTCAAACCAAATTCAGTTGTTGGAAAGTTGTTACATGTTACTAAGGTGACCTATAAGGCCCATGGGCCTCTTGTCCTAATAAAATTCAATTGGCTTGGTATAGTTTTCTTAAATTATATCACACTTTTAGCACCAAGGTAACATATTCTTAATTTTTTTCATCTGTAAACCTTTACTAAGTGCGTTTTGTCCATATACGCAATTACTACAATAATTATTATATTGAAATATTCTTATTATTTTCCAAGTCTACTTCATTTTTCAGTTCTTAGGAATTAAAAATCTAAGAATCATGCACTTTTCTAAACTTGTGACATGATCTTAAGTTTTTTCCAAAGAAAAAAAATTGTTTGTATCATCTATCCTTAAACGAGACTGCTGATATTCTTGTTTCATCAATTTGCTTGTCAATAATTTACCTCGTTTTAGAAATTGTTCATACGTAGAGAATGCTCTTGCGTAACGAATCACCAGAGATATATAAACTCCGTATGCAGATGATGAAGGTATATTGCTACATAAGTAAGGGACGTTGACGATTGTAAAGTTAAAGTCATCACGTTTATCATATAGCTTGGTTGTTAGATTATAATTTACGTCTTTTCAAGTAAAATATCCAAGTATGAAACACATGTGCCAGACTCTGTGGTATCTTTTATCTCAAGCTCATTTAGATATATCGTGTAGACGACGTAGGAATGGAAATTTCTATAATTGTTAATTGACAATACGTCGTCGATATATCTAAATGTCGAGTTGAAGGCCATAAAGTGTTTTCTTCTTTTCTTGAATGAGATTTTGCACGTTGAGAGGCGCGGATCATCAGATAGATCTCGACGCTTCGCGTCTCGTTGGATCTGATGATCCGCACCTGTCAACTCGACTTGATACAACCCTTCGGATCAAGTTACTGTAATAATAATATATATTTATCATATACCCATCAATTTCCTTGTTTTTGTTACTGTTAATTTTACAGAGTTTGATCCAATTTTCCGGATCACCACACTGTGGTTTTCTGAATCCACATTACCACTCTCTGAAACTGATGGCATAGTACACAAAAATATGACGTTATTTTTCTTGCGCGTTAAAAAGTCCCTTGTTTTTATGCTTTGTTTTATGGATAAATATTATAC